CCCCAAAACCCCAAAACCCCAAAACCCCGTTAGATAAATTAATCAGTAATAAACCAAATAAATATCTAACATTAAATTAAAATTAACCATATAAATATAATCTACAAAACTTAAATAAAAATGCATTTCAAAAGCAAAATCTTAAATCAATAATACACAAATGAATTCTAGTGAAATAGTTCAAGGGTTAAATTGCACAATGGGCACTTTGGCTCATTTAATTAACTTATCACCCATTTTTCTAAGCATTCACTGTGAAAGATATGCCCGCATCTATTGATTTTTCTAATGATCATAATTTCTTTATATTATTCTAGGCAAACAACACATTTTTCTTCTTCAAACTCTGCAAATGCAATGTCAAAATTACCTTTCATCGTTAAATTCTCCATTAATCTGTCTAGCTTATTTTGTCTAATTCTATTTTCCTTCTCATTAATAGTCGAAATAACTGACTGTAAATGAGATCTTTCTGGGCCGCTAAATACAGGTACAGGCATCCATAATTATAAATCAATATCAAGGTTAGAAGCATCACTCATATTTGGTTGTAAGGACAGGCCGTACTCTGCTAATTATTAAATATAGAGAACTCTATTTCTTATATCTTCATTCTACAAATACATAGAATCTAGGTCAATGTCTCTACGAACTAAAAGGCCACTGTATGATGGGCGTTATCTTTATCTATAGTGATCTCCTAATTCTGAAAATTCTCTTAATTAAGTTTAATCGCTATTATTTTAGTTTCTTTAAATTAATCTTCTACCTCCTGATCTGTGTTCTCTTAAGTTCCTGCTATTTCTCATTAATTAGTTGGAACTTAAACGATGCTGAATAACTGTAGGAAATACTTAATTTCTGTTAACTGCATTAGGATTTCTTCTATCAGGTCGCCTTTGAACTTCTAAAATATCATCATGAATCACTTATTATATCATAATTTGTTCTTAACGCTCCGTTGTAAGTGGAGATTGTTAGGAACTTTCATTTATTTAAGGAACTTCGAAAAAATTGTTAAATTAGACAGCTACTGGTCATTATGATTAGACCTGCTAAATTTATGGATGATTCTCTTAGTCTGTATTACTGATCATTTGATTGCTTTAAAAATTTAATGTCATTGGAATAATTTAGTTCTATTATTTTTTCTTTGAGATGTATATTTTAACTAGCTTAATTATTATTAAACTCGCCAATATCAGAATTATTGCTATTCCAATCGATACTAGGAGAGGTACTAAGTAAGAAGGCTATTAATTTCCAATTTCCTCAGCATTAATATTGGTATTATTTTTACTCTAAGGAGCAGTACTATTCTCCAAAGCTATAATTTAAATTTATTAGATAGATTTATCTACAAGAAAATGCATAGCCACTTCTAGAATCTTCGAAGGAAAAGTTCATTGAAGTAATCAGAATTATAAATTGTTTTATATATCAACTTCTAAGTATTAGTTTGAGTTATACACGTAGAAATACGATATTTTAAATTGTTATTCTTTTCGAATTTCATTAAATTTTATACCAATGGGGTTTTGGGGTTTTGGGGTTTTGGGG